CTCTTTAATTACTTTTAGAGTGCACCCACATCATCTCGTTTTGCATCAGGCATTGAAAGACGAAGACTTTAATCGGAGGTTGGTTGTTAGGCATGATACACAAAAACAGAGAATTTTTATTTCAATTTCTTTGGACCGGTGAAGCCACAATATGCATTATTGGTTTGCAGAAGATCCGTATTTGTTGCGTGAAGTTCAGCACCAAGGGCGTTGAAGCTTAAGTGTGTGGGCCATATTTTTCTGCAATGTCTTTCTTGACTTTTTGGACAATCAATTATTGTTGTTGTTGGAAGACGTGCCACTGGAAATACGGTTTTTGCAGTTTGCCCAGCACATTTTGCTATTATTGCGCGAGGGCATATTAATGCAGTATTTCAATAGCGGTGGATTGGAAGAGAAAGTCTCTTTCTATGGCCTTCGCGATCACCAGACTTGACTAGTCTTGATTTTTATTTATGGAGCCGGTTAAAGGACACCCTGTCTCAGACTCAACCTACAACCAGGGAGGATATGAAAAACCAGATTCATATTGCAAAACGTAAAATACCGAGAGCCAAAAATTAAAGCTGTTGTTTTGTCTACCCATGAAAGGCTTCAGGAATGCATAGAACGTGATGGTCAGCATTCTGAGCATTTTCGGGGACATTAAAAACCTTTCTTTTTGAAATCGGTCCTTTTAAGGGCTACAGCTTAATAATAAAAAGAAATTCCAGAAAAATTAGTTTGAAAAATAAAAATTTAAGGGATTTCCGTATAGAACCTTCTTTGTCCTAAATTTTGGGCTAGGAACAGGATATCGAGATCCGGTTTTCACGAGCTTGTTCAGATGCCATTTGGCTACTTTTTTATAAAAACATCATACCAATGCATTCAAGTTTTTGTAAGGAAATTATCAATTTCTGTCGGAATGTCGAAAAAATCTCTCTAGCGGCCACATGTGAAACTAACAAAACCTCAAATATTACAACATTTGTAGACCAAGCTCGTTCTATTCGTCATTGTCTGTCAGAGCGGTCCGTAGGACTTTTGCTCTTAGTTGAAGTCTTGTAAGTCAGTAGGTCTGTCAGGTCTGGTTGCCCAGATACCAAACAAAGTCAGGGAGAAAGAAGAAAAGGGAGGAAGGAGGGAGAGCAAAGAAAAAAGAAGTGCATCAATTTCTAGTTAGTATTCGGCAATTTTCAGTTGATCCTAAAATTAAGTTTGGGATTGGTTGTTGAAGAAAAATTATAATTTTGGTTGGACCTAAAGTCGCACGATTTAATTTTGTTCACAGTGCGAGTCGCGGCCTTGTGTGCTTGCGAACTTGCTCGACTGTGTAGTCTACTGACTCGCGCAACAAAGGGTTGTTATGCGATTCTGCTTGACTATAACGTAGCTGCGCTTGTTGTTTGATGTAGTCCCTCAGGTAACGGATGGCAAGGTCTCTGTGAAGGGTCTCGCTGGAAAGATACCATGGGGCGTCAGTGATTGTACGCAAGGTTCTGTTCTGCAAAATCTGCAGGCTATGCAAATCCGTTTTGGCGAGAAAACACCAAGCCGCACTTGCGTAAGTAATCGCTGGTCTAATAACCATCTTGTATAGCCGAACTTTGTTGATCAAACTTAATTTTGATGTTCTACATAGCATAAAGTAGAGTTGCCGAAACGAGATTTGGAATTTTTAACGCTTCAGTGTGCTTCTGCCAGGTTATCCCCGTGTCAAGAGTGACACCGAGATACTTAGCAGAGCTTTCCCATGGTACCCGAGCTCCATTCACTGAAACCTCAGACGGGGCGCCGCTACGTTTTTTAGTACAATAGATTGCCTGCGCTTTCGAATGATTAATTTTGATCAGCCGCCGATTTGCCCATTCCAATACCTCGTCCACTGCACTTTGCAGCCTGTCGTGAACTAGATCCCCAGAGCACGACTGGGCCACCAGGGCGGTGTCATCAGCACAGAGATAGGTTTCACAGCTGCTGGGGCAAGGGTCGTCATGAATAAAAAGTGAATAAAGGACTGGTCCAAGAACCGAACGCTGAGGGACACCGGATTTGATGGGCCGTGTTTTCGACAGAACGTTATTAATTTTGATCCGAAATTTCCTACACTCGATGAAGGATTTCAAAAGTTTTAGGAGGCCCTTATGGATCAATTTGTATAGAAAGCCCTTGTGCCACACCTTGTCAAATGCCTTTGAGACATCCAGAAGCAAGATGCCAGTACTTTCGTTACGGGTAAGCCCCCTGGTTACTCGTTCGACAAGCCTGTAGCTCCGTACTATGCTCAGACCGAAAGCCAAATTGGACGTCAGGAATCACATTGTGGTCTGCCGAGAAATTTTCAAGGTGAGTCAGCGAGTTTAGAAGGAGCTGACAGTAGACTAATGGGGCGGTAATCCTGGGGGAATATCGAACCCACCTTCTTTGGAATCATTATGACAGCAGCGGTCTTCCATGCCGTTGGGAAGTGCTGGGTCCTTAGCATGGCATTGATTAATGCCACGAGATAAGTTAAGGACTTGGGCGAAAGTAGCTTCAGCGCCTTACTAGTGATTCGATCCTCTCCAGGTGCTTTACGCACCTTGAGGTCTTTAATATGACCTTGAAGCTCTGCTGGTGTGCAATGCGGAGGCTCAGGAGATTCCACTGATGTGCCGTGCAGCTCTTCAGTTGAGGAATCTTCTGAAGATTCTTCTGAGGAAATATCACTAAGGCAGGCACTACTGCCACTGACGCCGTTGGTCCTAAAATATCTCCTGACGGATCTTACAATATGTTGCTCCTCGTCGAGGTCATTATCAAGGTCATAGTTGGGAGAGAACCGACTTTCCATTGCAACAGCGTAAACCTCGACCTTTTCCTCTGTCCTACAGACTATGCCCCTAGGACCGTGGATGTGCGAGGGTTGTTCTCGCTTTCCGTTTCTGAGCGACTTTGCAACTTTCCAGAGAGGAATACTTGAGTCAAGCATCCCCGACAGAAAGTCGCTCCATTGCTCATTACGGAATTCATGAAGAGCATTTCTCACTTGATGAACAAGATTCGTTGCTCTGAGAATGTCATCTAGGTGACAAGACCTCTTCGCTTGCTTGATTGCAGCTCTTTTGTCAGAAATTTTCTGACGAATGTCTGCAGGGAGAACCATGCTCGTTCCAACTAGCATAACTTTGTTAAAATTGACTTAGCTGTTTCGAATATATAGGGTGTTTTTTACGGATACCTTCGAATACCCCCCACCACTTTATTTTTAGAGATACAGCAAAAATCGTCAAAGAAAGAACATTTTTCTCTTGGCCGTTTTAGTCTGAACTTTACGATTAGTTGGCCACCCTGTTCTAGCATTCTAGTTGTGAAGTTGTTGTCAGAAGTGTCAAGTTAGTTTGCATTGGTTGTCGCTTTGCTGGTAGTTTGCTCTCGTTTTACGAAATTCTTGTGATCGATTGAAGGTTGAATTTGTCTGATGTTTTTAGCACTGTTTACACTAAAAATGCAATACAGGGTGTCCGCAAAGTTGGTGTTTTCCTTTTCAGAAACAACTACCCTTGAAATAACAAAGGTAATGTGTAGTGAAACGAGGGCGACCAAGTAAAAAAAATAAAGGAAAAAGTACTCACTCTCCAGTTGACGAGAAGGGCTAAGTACGTCTCTGCCCAAAATCATACCGCTCCAACAGAAAATGAAATCAGCTGATGCGTTTCCGAGCAGACGCCGGCGGTGGTGCAGACCACGAACAGAGGTAACAAATATGACAATCGTGCAGAAACCACATTGATTGTCTTACACTTAATGGCACATCTTCTAACAAGGAAGGCAAAATTTTGCATAAAAAGTCTAGGTATTGCATCCCGTCCAATCGATTTGGGAGAATAAATGGTCCAATGAGCATACCGTTCACCATGCCAGCCCAAACATTCACCGAAAATGTTTGTTGAAAATGTGACCGACGGACAGCGTGCGGATTTTCTACTGACCAAACATGAGTGTTGCGAAAGTTATTCACCCCATTACGCGTGAACGTAGATTCGTCTGTCACCAATATGCACTTCAGAAAGTCCGGATTATTGTCATGTTGATGCAACAACCACTCACAAAACCGCACTCTTGCTGGAAAATCGTCAGGTTGAAGGGCTTGTACACGTTGGACGTGAAACGGATACAGCCCCTCTTCACGCAGCGTTTGCCACACTTTAGTTTTTGATACTTGCACTTCTCTAGCCACGTCTCTAGTGCTTGTTGTTTTTTGAAACGCAATCGATTATACGGGTTCGTTTACCTCTACACGCGTGACCGTAACCGTCGGCTGAAGGTTGCATACTGACCTGACACACTGACCCCGACCCAGTTCTGTCGTCGGGTTGAGCTAGTATCCTAGTACCACTCGGGGACGTCGCGAGTCGCGGCTACAGGACGCTATTCAGATATTTTTGATATTGCAGAGCCCTTTATCTCGGTTCTATTAAGACATTGGTGTATATGGTACTAAGAAAAATTGCTTATGTTTTCAAGATCTACACGTCGTGTAAAGGAAAACCCGAACTTTGCGGACACCCTGTATATTAATGTTATCGCACAACGTAGGATACATAGCAAAGGTAAATCTTCCATAAATAGATAGTGATAAATACCCCATCGCTCCATTTTGGACAAACATGCTCCTTTTTATTTTTGATTCATACAAACTATACTGGATCATATCGAAATATCATTATACGATTGCAGAGAATATCTGCGGTCGCTGACATGGTAGGCGGCAACAGCAGCTGTTGCTTAGTACCAGAACCTCTTTTATCGTAATTCAAGGGGAATTTACATGCGATTTCCCCCGCCGAAATGGCGCCCGTGTTTGACACTGACAGGAGAGAATCATAGCTGATTGTTATCTAAGCTGTGGTTATATGACCTCTGCACAAACAAGCTGCTTTTATTTGTTTTATTTATATCCGTATTCATTGGAGTCTGTGTCGGATACAGCACCAGCGGGGCAACTACCTAACCTTGTCACGTTCACTGGCACTCACCTCTACCAATCCGATTCCAAGCTTGGCAACAATGGGTCGCCTATCCAAAATACCGTGATCTACATCGCCTATCCTGTTTAATCCAACTGAAAGGGTTGACGAGTACACATTACTCGTGGATCGTTCCATATTTCACTTTACCTTCCCGAACTTTACCACTCATCCCTGCGCTTTGGGCACAATTTTTCACTCACTTCTCTGACAAAATTTACAACCGTGTACGCTCGATATTTTTTCACTTGCATCACAGAACAATTAGTATCTTATCTTATCTAAACGATACGCTGTCGCTGTACCTACGTATGCATAAACTGTGACAGTTATTGGTTGGCTGAATATATTATATTGTCATTTATAGAACCAGATTGTTATATCAATGATATTTTTTCACTCTTGCGATAAAAGTATCGTCTTCCTGGTTAGGCTAATTTATTCGCAATGACGGATTGTTGTATTTCAGAGGAAAAACTAGTTTTTCCGTCTAATGTAATAAGTAATGATTGACATTAAATATAAATTTCCTAGAGTTATCGCAACGAAACCAGACAAGTTGGAATTCGATCAGTTTATTGCGTGTTTTGTTTGATAATGAAAATTACGGAGTGCGTCACATAAATGCTTAATGTTTGGATCAAACCATCATTATATACCCATTTGATTACAATAATATACGTGTCTTATAAGGTTTCCCAATAGTATGCGCTTTTGCAATATTTCGCTAGTTAATTTAAAACCCTTAACTGGTGACGTGCCATTCCGGTGACGTTATAGGTGACGCTGGGTCTCTCAGATCCACATATTATTTTGTTTATATTTTTGTATGTATTTTAGATATTGTTTAATTTTATACAAGGTGTTTCAGTTTATTGTTGCATTAGATAGAACTTTTCAAATTAATGCATAAAGTCTATATAAACAAGGGTCGAAAAATGCGTGGCTTCCGAAATACAGGGTGTTTAAATTTACATTCTAAAATAGTTTTTTTAAATATTTAGAACAATATTTGATGTATAACAGTGAAAATTGGTATACAAGAGTTCTTTGGTACGACAAAACGAACCATGGGCATAGTTTTACCGTAGCCGGTAGAGGGCGCCCTCTACTGTATCTGTAGTGTATTAAAATGACCGAAAAATTTTTCTTAGTGCAATTTTTTGCTTTTTGAACAAAAAAACTGAGTCTTTGCACTTTTCAACATAAAAAATAATTGAAAATGGTTTTGGAAATCTCCAAAGGGATCAAAACATAAATGTTCGTCAGCGCAGATTTAGCCGTATGATTCTGCGTGAGTTTGAATACAAATTGGGTACAAGTTTTAACTTTTTTGTATGGTCTGTTTATTGTTTACTAATCTAGTTTGTATTTGTTTGTGTATATAAAATAATGAAAATGATTACTATTATAAATAATTTCAGGTGCAGCAGCCGCATTTGATCAATCTGTATAACGCGAATACCGGGGGTGTAGATAGATACGATCAGAACATCAGTCTCTATCGTATATCTATAAGAGGTAAAAAGTGGTATTTTCCACTCATCGCACACGAGGTGGTAACTTGGACCAATTAGGATTTAGGAGGAGAATAGCCACAGCATTATTATTACAAAACAAAAAACAAACCACATCAAGAAGGCATATGCCATGGGAAGAAGGAATAGATATTCGCTATGATCATACAGATCATCTGGTTATATCCCAAGATAAACAGACCAGGTGTGCACACTGCCATGATAAGACCATTACTAGATGCAGCAAGTGTAATAAAGGATTACATGTGAAGTGTTTCGTGCTTTATCAGACACCTAAAACGAATTAGATGGTTGCCTATATGTCCACCGTCCTATATGTAGTACGGCTAACAAAGAACAGTTTTCCAATAATAAATTTAATTTTTTTTGTAGAACATGTTTATTTATCACAAAAAACCCCACCAGGCTCAAAGAGTGCTCTTTATTAATAAATGTTTATGAATGGGCATATCTGGGTTAATAATAAAAAGAAGTTCCAGAAAAATTGGTTTAAAATATAAAAATTTAAGAGATTTCCGTTAGTTTTTTTTAAATATTTCGAACAATATTTGATGTATAACAGTGAAAATTGGTATACAAGGGTTTTTTGGTACGACAAAACGAACCATGGGCATAGTTTTACTGTAGCCGCTAGAGGGCGCTCTCTATTGTATCTGTAGTGTATTGAAATGACCGAAAAATTTTTCTTAGTGCAATATTTTGCTTTTTGAACAAAAAAAACTGATTCTTCGCACTTTTCAACATAAAAAAGCTCTCTTGTGAGTTTTCGTTATAGTTAGCCGTTTTTGAGATATTTCGATTTTTGAGGTTCGATGCATTTTTAACTATTTATGATAAAATAACGTTAAAAACTCAGTATCTCGATAATTTTTAGAAGTTGGCTGTGCCTGCAAATATTTTTGTACTTCAAAGCAGAATAAGATTAAGCGTCAATTAGTTGACAGTTAGTTTTGTTGTCTGTTGAAACCTGAAACGTTTTTTTGCAATTGTGAATGCACGAAATTTAGTTTCTTTTACCTCTTTGTAAGTTTTATCAAAATGCCATTTTTATTCTCCAATCAAGAGTTAGCGAATATTCATTTTGTGTATGGCTTTGTAAATGGAAACGCAGCAGAAGCAGCCAGAGAATACGGACGAAGATTTCCAAACAGACGACATCCAACTCGCTCAGTATTTGTAAGAGTGCATCGCCAAATAATTGAAAATGGTTTTGGAAATATCCAAAGGGATCAAAACATAAATGTTCGTCAGCGCAGATTTACCCGTATGATTCTACGTGAGTTTGATAGAGATCCGACCACAAGTGTTAGGAGAGTTTCTGGTGCATTGGGAATTTCAGCAAGCAATGTTCACCGTGTTCTTAGAAATGACCATAGACGTCCTTACCATTTGCAACCTGTGCAAGGACTACAGCCAGGGGACGGAGAACGAAGAATCACATTTTGTCAGTATATTCTTGATAGAACTGATAATAATAGGGAGTTTTTAAGTAACGTTTTATGGACCGATGAGTCATGCTTCACTAGACGTGGAGTGGTAAATTTTCATAATCAACATATTTGGTCGCATGAAAACCCGCATGCAGTTCGGGAAAGAAATTTTCAGCATGAATTTAGTGTGAACATGTGGATTGGTATCTACCGTAATCGACTATTTGGACCCTACCTTTTTCGTGCAAGGTTAAATGCTGCGACCTTCTTGGAATTTTTAAAGGCTGAACATGCAAATATGTGGGATGATGTTATGTTAGATTTAAGAAGATTGGCCCGGTTCCAGCTTGATGGTTGTCCAGCTCATTATTCGAGAATAGTTAGAAACTGGCTGGACGAAAATTATCCAGGAAGATGGATCGGCCGTGGAGGACCAGTCGCCTGGCCTCCACGATGCCCTGACCTAAATCCATTAGATTTCTTTGTGTGGGGATTTCTAAAAGAAAAAGTGTACCAGACTCCCGTAACCACAAGAAATATGCTAATAGACAGAATCAGGCATGCATGTGATGAAATAAGGCGTTAGTTGAATAATGCTATACCACGTTCGATCATTCGTAGATGTGAATTGTGTATTGAACAATTGGGTTTACATTTCGAGCAACTACTTTAGATTTTGTATGTTTGTCCTAACTATTCAATAGCATTTTAGTTCTAAATAATTAATTTAATTTGCTAAAAATAATATTGGTAAATTAAACAAATTAATATTCTGTTTTTTGTGTTTATTTGGAGTTAGGAATTATTGCTGTGTTTAAAACCACAATCTAAACGATCATCTTAATTACTTGTAATGCCCAAATCGAAAATATAAAAAATAATATTTTTTCCCATAAATAATTAAAAAGGCATCGAACCTTGAAAATCGAAATATCTCAAAAAACGGCTAGAAATAACGAAAACTCACAGGAGAGCTTTTTTATGTTGAAAAGTGCGGAGAATCAGTTTTTTTATTCAAAAAGCAAAAAATTGCACCAGGAAAAAATTTTCGGTCATTTTAATACACTACAGGTACAGTAGAGAGCGCCCTCTAGCGGCTATAGTAAAACTATGCCCATGGTTCGTTTTGTCATACGAAAAAATCCTTGTATACCAATTTTCACTGTTATACATCAAATATTGTCGAAATATTTAAAAAAAACTGTTTTAGAAACTAAATTTACACACCCTGTATTTCGGAAGCCACGCATTTTTCGACCCATGTTTATATAGACTTTATGCATTAATTTTAAAAGTTCTATCGAATCTTAAAGCTATGCAACAATAAACTGAAACACCCTGTATGTTGTCTAACTCTATTATATAGTCCTAGGCAAATAGCAATGTTCTACAAACAATTTTGAAGATTATCTGTATTTATTAAAAATAAGTTTGGTTTGGTGAAACAACATTGATAAGGCATGAAATAAAAAAAAATTAACAGGTTAGAACAATATATACTAGAAAACTACAGCTCTTGAACTTGAGGAAAGTAAAAAAATAAAAAGTTACTCCCTGGCACATTGAACACATATTTTTTCCACACATGGTAAGCAAACGGGTTTTTTACACCGCATACATCGTAAATTAGTTTTTCTATCGTTTTGATAACTACAGATGCCACATCTTTTCCGTTTATAGGGCTGTTTCATTTGCTGGTGGCTAAGGTATCGGCTGGTTTAAAATTTTTGAAATTGCTTGTCGGAGATCTCGTGGGAGTCTGCTATTGGCCAGCCTTGAGTTTAAATGTGGCGAAATACGCTCTCGTGCTAGGGTCTTGACAAAACAGAAACGCGTGGTCTTTGCATTTTCAACATTTGAATTGTAAATTATGAATGAGTTGACCGAAGCGATATTCAGAATAGCATAGAAAACAGCCATGGGCCACCTCCTAGTCCTACGGTTGGTGCAATATGCTGCACATTTTTGATCCAATGAAACAACCCCGCCCTTCGTATTATTATAAAAAGCAATTATTTCAGGCTTCCCAGTTTCCCGATCAGTGCATTGATGACGGTGAAGCGATGATATCATGATAACAGCCTTGTTTTTTTTGGAACAAATGACAAAAGTGTAATTTCCCTAGTAAATCCGTACAAGCATGATCCCACTTGGGCAGAAATTGTGGTGGAATTTGCCGTTTGTTCCTACGTACGTAAGTCCTCGTTTTTTCAGTTCTTGGACAGCCTCAACAGAAGAAAACCAGTTATCCGCTGTAACATTCCGATTAGTGTTTATGATGGGCTGAGAAAGGCGTACGAGAGACTGAGTGGGTAGTGATAGTTTATTTTCTTCTTCAGAGAGAGTGAATCCATCACTACCTCTGCGAGTATAAATATAGCCATTAAAAATTGGTTGTACGTGCGTCAGTTAGGATTTGAATTTTCAAGCCGTATTTCTCTGGCTTACTCCCTATATGCAATCTGAATTTATCGGCCGCGGAATCCAACCAGCATTTCATCAATATATGCTAGTTCGAAGATGGAATAGCAGTTCTGAGCGTTCTTCACAAATTGCTCAAAAATGGAAGATATCGCAGCTGCAGGATTTACTTCTTTCCTTTGGGTTCGAGTGGTTATATAATCGAACCTGAGAACAGCCAA